GACGGACCAGACAGCCTGGTCAGAGGAAACGGCTTCATGAGAACAGAGGAGAACATCAGGAGGTCTGCAGGAACACTGCTCCTTGGGCAGCTTTGGAGCTTCAACAAGACAATGATGGGAAACATGCAGGAGATGTTGGAGTGGCCCAGACAGAAACCAGACCCGAATCCATCCAGAACCTTTGGAGGAGCTAAAGAGCAGAGTGATGGAGAGGAAGCCCTCAAGCTACAAGAGCTGCAGATGGACACTTGGAGGAATAAAATCCCAGAGGAGACATAAAGAAACACTGATAGACAGTTGAAATAGTAGCAATTATAATTAACATCTCAAACATAATGTCTTACTGCGTTTGGCCCCTGGATTTTTGAGTGTAATTTGTCCAATAAAAGCTCAGTATAAATCTAAAGTTTGTATGACTATGACTGCTTTAGGGCTTAACATGTATGTAACATGTATGCTCTACATGCTATCTTCCACCTGTGTGTGTCAATCAACCTGTGAAGGGAAGCAAAGCGACGTCGAGCTGCTATTGGTGGATTCCGATGACAGGGGAGGCGGGACTTGAGCTTAGGCGGCCTGTGATTGGACGAGACGCGTGTGCATCAAGAAGTTCAGGAGGCAAGTTTCTCAAGTTGGATGTGGAGAGTCAGTGAGAAGTGGCAGCTGTATCTGTGACACACTGAGGAAAAGTGACCGAGCACGGTAAGAACTGGCTCAGTTTTTTTTTTAACCAACAGGTGTTTTGTCTCATTTGAAATTAACGTCGTTTGTTCCTGTTGTTTGTTTTGTGGTTTCACTGCGTCGCTCGTGTCGCTTTTCCTGGTTGCTCGGCTAAAGTGGGAAAGTGAGTTTTTTAAAGCTAATATTGACACTTTTCATGCTGCATTTAACCATTTTTTAACCAAGTCTGGCCTTCAACTCGGGTAATAAAGTGATATTTGTCAGTTGAAGTGGGTGTTGAGGTGTATTTTTTAATCCCTGTGACATTTCCTACTTGCAGTCTGAGCTAACCTCTGCATGATAACAACACTGGACTCCTGTTTCTGATGCTGTGAGAGTCTGGCAGCTCTCACACCAACACTGGGACGTCCTGCAGTTTGTTCCCTTGACCTTTTTTGGTCAGTTTTTTCCCCTACGAGATGTTGTTATGAATCTGGACCTGCTTCCTTTCTTTCCCCACCCCTCCACGTGTTTGTCTCATAATGAATCAGAGCTGAAGGATCTGCAGAAAGCTTGGAGCTTCAGAGGTTAATGTTGCTCGTAAATATCAGCAAATAAAAACCCAAGTGAAGCTGATTTCTCTCTGTTTGAAAGCCTGCCGGGCTCGTGGTGCATGCAAAGCAATCCCTTTTTAAAACTGTCCTTAGAACACATTGCTGCCTCTGTTGTGCTCCCCATGGCCATCTTCTTCTCTAGTCAATCTCATGGTGGCTATATTTAGCCGGCATCTATTTAAGCCATTCCACTATATGCTCCACAATGCTCCTCGGGCCCTAGGCTAGATTCAGCAGACTCCTCTTGGGAGGCACTCGATTAGGAGACCTAAATTGCGAGAGCTGGGAGAGAATTGAATTTGGGGAGTGAAGTGTGTCATTACCCAGACAATGTGGTATTAACTTGAGTGCGTTTATAGAACAAAGCCGGACTACACATAATCACTTATGCATTACTGTTTGAAAGGGGAAAGCTTTGAAGAAATGTAATACCTGACACTTGACATGACCGACAAATGTGTGAATCTCTAACACACTCCTCCTATGCACCGTATATATCTTGTGCAGTTTGCCAGAGCACTAACTCTTAAAAGCGGACAGCCCGTTTTGCTATCTCCAGAATAGTGCCTGCCTTAGTTACCCGAGTCTCTGCCAAAACATCCCTCAGCTAGTCAAAAGCCAGGGTGACCGAAAAGGCCCACAGCACACACAAACTACTAATGAAGATCTGAATGAACCGGCACAATCGGGACTTCCTGCCCACATGCACCCGTACGACACGTTCATAACGTGTTACAGTAGGTCCTTTTAGTGGCAGAATGGGTGAGGCTGAATAGCAGAGGCATGTATGCAAATCCTGTGCATGTGTAAACAGAGGATGTACATTTGTCTGAGCTGCAGCGCTCGTAATTGTGAGCTAGTGGCACCTTGTTTGCTGCCTCTTCAGCAAAGTGGGTTAGCAACAAAACGCCTTTCCTACTCGGCCAACTTGAATCCCCCCAAGAAGTTTCTGGGTTTCTTTTTGCTCCTGTTGGCTTTTTGCTCACTGTGGGCTCAGTTTTTACTTCAATATGAAGTCCTGTACTTCTTTGGTAACAGAACAACCATGACTAGAAGGAGAGAGAACTCAGAAATGTGCTACTTATTGTATAGGAAATGAAAACCTAGAAGTAGCATCTCCAACGTTTTTACTCTGCACATTTACTCTAGAAGGATATCTCACCATGCTGGATGTGTCGTCCAACAACTGGCTCCTCTGCTCACTGTTTCTGAGCCATGCCGCATTTATTTTATTCATCCAGTAGGTTTGATTTTCCTCTCAGCCTCACATTTCACCCAAAAACTCCCTGACTTCTTTCCATGTGACTGTTGGTCACAGCTGTGACTTTTTTAGTTGTGCTATTGAATTTTTATTAGTTTTTTAAAATTGAAAAAATAAAAGAATATGGTGCAGACTAGGTCAGAATAATATGCACCATTATTATGTTTGGCAGATATTGCAATATGAGAATTTTTCATTTCTTTTCAGGTGGAAAAAGAAAAAATATTATGTGATGAAAGTATTGTATTTGCTGGTAGCTTGTCAGATATCGCGATAATTTTTCAACCGAAAAAATTGATTGAAAAAGTTTGTGACTTTTGCTGCAGTCTGTAGTCACTTTGAGATCATAATTTATGACTTGTTGAGCCATGCTGCACTGATTTAATGATCAGGTAGGTTTTATCTCTCCTCTCTGCTTTGTTTAAATACATCCTGCAGTTTGGACTAGTACATTTGCCTACATTTTTGACATGTGACTCTTTGTCACTATTAGAGTAACTAACTGTGTCGTAGTTGCGCAGAGGTCTGTAGAATTATTTGTTTTTTACAGATTCTTGAACTGCGATCTGTCTATTTTTGGCTAATTTTTTCAAATGACACGTGTAGAATCAAGAGATTTTGACGAAAACAGAGATGTTAAGTTTAGATCTGAACACATGAATAGTTCAGTGACCGCTGGAAAGTAAAAATATCTGATGACTCTTCTCCGTTTTTACAGTTTCTGGCTCATAAATGCAGTAATTTGGTGTTTTAAAAAAAAAAAAAATAGATAACATGCCTTTCAAACCCAACAGCAGGTTTTGGGGTTCAGAGTTAAAATTTAAGATTCCTGTTGTTGGAAAATCATCCACAGCTTCCTCAGTCCCGTTTGATTCTTCATGTAATTTGTCCTGTGTGTCGTTCTTGTGTTGCAGGAGACAGGCAAAGCCTCTAGGGGGCCATGTCTGGTGGCAGCAGCGCTAACAACAGCTGGACCATCCTCACTTCTGAGGTATCGTCACTCCGCAAAGAGCACGCGTGGAGTCACTGTGCATGACCTCGATGGAAATACATTATTATTTTTAATAAGAAAACTCCCCAGTTGTCCCAGTAGATTCTCTTCTGGGTCACCTGAATATGGCTTCTTTAACGAGTCTTTCCTTATTTGTTCTGGTTTAACTGGTATTCAGAAAGGCAAACTAGCGCCGGAGGCAGTAGCCTGGAGGGGTAATGCACATTTACCGCCTTGTTCGGTGGCGTTTTAGCAGCAGACGTTGTTAAAGAGGAGAATAATCAGGCTTTATATAGAAATAGTCTGTATGTTCAGGTTAGCTGACAGTGCTCCAGCAGTGATATCTAAATAATAATGAGGTTGTCATCGAGAAATGGCACCAGATTATAAAGGAATTATGAAGAAAGTGTCATTTTAATTTTCACTTATTGGTTCCTTTATATGTTTTACTCAAGCTACTTCACCAACAGACCATTTTTAACCCTTAATGTACATCTGCTGCTCTCTATCTGCGCCGTCACACGAGTCGAATGCCTGCGTGACTTCCCGTTTGCGAGCGTTTGTCTTGATAAATCGTGAGTCAACAGCTGAGTCAGCTGAGCGGCAGCAACAGCCGAGTGGCTCGATGAACAGGTGAACGCCACCCACTGTGCAACTGTCTCACAACACCCGATTAGTTTAGCAGATGCTGCTACAAAACCAGAACAGGATTGGACATCTGCCATTGTTACGGTGAAGCACCTGAAGTAAACACGATAATATAAACCGATTAAAGTTGTCTCCACGGTTACAGTTACTTAATGTGGCTCTGGGTTTCTGCAGGAAGGAGTTCTACTAACATGATATTAACAGGGATTCTTTATTTCTCTTCTATGACAAACACAAATTTCCAGTATCTATTCTGCATATCGATGCTCTTTGCAGCCGACTAGCTTTTCTGTCCTTATAGCCAAACCTCACTGGTTGAAAACATATTAATTCATATGATTATTATAATTTGTTTACCTTGACAGACAGACGTTGGCAGTGGTGGAGAGAATACTCGGATCCTTTACTGAGGAAAAGTGCTAACACCACACTGTAGAAAGCCTGTATTGGAAATGTTACCTGAAGTATTATCAGGAAAATGTACTATGACATTAAAAGTATAACTACTCAATGCAGAAAATGTCCTCTTGTAGCTCACATGTTAATATAAAAGCAGGATTTTATTGTTGCCTAAACTCAAAAAATCAGGAATCTTCAAAAAACTAGAATTGCAAAATCAGAACTGTTCTGATACCCGGCTGTATTATTCTGACTGTCTGCTGTTTGTCTGTTATGTTTTTTTCTTCTCAGGAAACTGCTGCTGAAACCCTGAGGCCTTTGGCAGAAGGGACGGAGCACCATGAAGGAAGCCAAGCATCTGCAGCAGGTGTCCTCACTGTTCATTTATTCCATTTTTAGATTATTAGATATTAGATATATGCAAGTGCATTTGCATCATACGTCTGCCTGCGTTGTGAGTCTATCAATACAGTTTACAAATTAGCATTTAATAGCTCACTTTTCTATCTGGAATTAAAATTACAGATATCAACAGTGTCTTTGCAACTAATTAGAATGTTTATGGTGTTTGTTACGTCATTCTGACCAGTCAAAACAACAAAAATATCTTTAATTCAGAAATACTAATACAAATAGCTTGAATGTCATTGTGACATTAGTCTAAGTTGTTGTGCAAGGCTTCCCATTGGATATTACATTTGAACAGTGTTGACAGAAGTAATATGAAGCTGGCGTCATGGATGAGATTGTTTAAAAGAAAATGCGCTGAAATCGAGCGAGGAGTTTGTAGAGATCTGAGACTTGTACTCTAGATTCACACTGTATTGCAATTTTTAAAAAAAACCTCCAGACACTCTTTAGAACCTGTGACAAAATCTGGATGTTGTCAGAACACTGATCTCTTATTCTGGAATATTTATTAGTTAAAAATGTGAACTTTACCCAGCTCCAGTGCATTTTTTTGCTTGTTTTTTTTTTTTTAAAAAAAGCTTGAACCTCACCTCTTGTTTCCACTCTTTGTAGCAGAAGTTCAGATAACTGCAACGCCATTTTGCAAAACTTAAATTCAGTTTTTACTAGCAATACTTCCAGTTCAGTGTCTCTACAGTGTCATTTTTACTAGTTCACATTTACATTGTAAATCTGCAGCTGAGTTGTAGAAATCTGTAATGAGAAACACATGAATGAGAAAAACAAGTGATGTTATTGATCTGGAAGAAATCTGAAATGTTCTGTTTTATTGGGAAGAATTAAATTAAATTAAATTAAAGGTATCTGCAGTACATATCCAGCCTAAATACTGACTGCTCACTCTGCTTTCCATTGTATATTACAGTAAAATGAAGTTATCATGTAGTAGACTGACCTGGTCAGGAGAAGAACGCCAAGCTCAGAGTCCAACTTGGCTTTTTTTTTTTCTAAGTGTCTTCCCTTCATTTTGAGAGTTGCTTTGCAGTGCGGGCAGACGTTGCTGAGGCTGGAATAGCAGCTTTTCAGCCTTTCCACCATTTAAAGGGACGTACATCTGCATCAGGAACATCGTCTCTCTGAAAGCGCCCGTGATTTACTAAAGTCTGAGAGCAGAGCCGAGAGTGGTTGAGGAAGTCTGGTTTCAATACGCTGAAACGTTGCTATTGAATTTTTGCTAAATGGAGCCAGTAATATGAATGCCCCAGCTTTAATTTTACAGGAAAACCCATTTTCTAACGCACAAATTTAGTCAAATTTTTTATTTAATTTCTTACTTTTCACCTTTTTACATTCAAATAACTGTAGGAGTGAAACTAAACAAAGCACATCGGTGGTGTTCATCATTCACAGGCTTGACAGGCTGCTCTAAACTGCTTCCTTTCTCTGTTTGATGGTCCAGGTTCTGGGGAGAACAACCCGCCTGCGAATGCTGCAGAACCTGCAGAAGGCCTCCCGGTGCAGGACCACACAGTAAGAAGTCGTGTTCTGTTATCTAACAGCATTACTTATCACACACCTGAGCTGATCGTGTAGCTGTGGTTGGCCCCTGAAAGCATTCTGCTGTCTTTTATTTTAGAACTGTTCCATGCTTTTAAGGATCACTCACTTCTGAATTGCCCGATGATGTGTATTAGGACTATTTATACCACATTCAAGAGGAATGCTTGGTTCTGATTGCACTGACTGGCCTCGCAGCTCTGACGTTGGCTTTCTAACTCGGTGCTCGTGTTTGGAAAGTGATTCATTTGAGGTGTACTTAGCTTGAAATAATGCCAACGCAATGCTTGGGTTGAACCCTCTGAACTCTGAGCAGTTTTTGGATGTTTTTTTGTGCTCCTGTCACATTTTTACTCACTGTGGCCTCGTTTTTTACTGCAATATAAAGTCCTCAATTGAAGCAGGACAACCATGAGGAAGGAGGGAGAACGCAGAAATGTCTTTGGTGCAGGATGACATAGTTGAAATGCCAAAAAAAAAAAAAAGTAAAATCAAAAGTTGAATTTCTTGATTTATTTTACAACCATTGAAGAAACCTGGAATTACTTTTTGCACATGTGCTACCAACACCGATACCAGTCAGTCATGATGGCTCAGTTGTGCTGCAGATTTATTTTAGTTTTAGTTTTTCACTGAATCTGGTGCAAACTGGGGTTGAACAATGTGCTAAAATAATAATTATGCTGCAAATATTTTGCCAGTTGTTGTGACATGAGTGATGAATTTAGTAGAAATGGTAACTTTTAAATTTATTTTCTAATTAAAAATAATAATGTGATTTTTGCTGCTTTCTGTATCAGACAAGCATGTTATCTTACGTCTTGAGAATCTGATTTATAGCTGGGCGATCTATAGAACTACAATGGTATGTTTGTCATGATTTTATCTTTTATCAACAAAAACACCTGCAGCTTCTGTGATTTAGAAGTTGCACTTTTCCATATTGCAACTTTGATCATATTTGAAATGTCTAAGAACTGACTGAACAGCTTATTTGTAGGGATTTTTAAGCAAAACATGTAGAATAACTTGTTTTTAATTAAATATGATTTTGTGCTTGGATTTGTTCAGTTAAAAATCTGACAATTCTCAAGATTTAAACATTTTCTGGCCAAAAAATGGTAGAATTTTGGTGTTTTTTTTGTTTTTTTTTTGTTTATTAAAGATGACATCCTGGCACAGAACAAGACACAGATTTGTTTTTTTTTTTCTTGCAAAGACTATATAGAAAGTCAGTGCACATCACGCACAAATATGTGTTTACTATTACTGTAGCTCTTCCTGATTTATGCTTGAATATTACAATGCATCACACAAAAATATATACGGTGCCTGACGGTGTAATCCCCTTTTTGTAATGACCTGGTTGTTCTGTCCAGGTATCGGAGGTGAAACCAGCAGAGCTCAGCGAGGCCTCTGTGCCTGCCACTGTCCCCGATACCTTCGTTCCTTCCACTTTGGAGGCCTCCGGCAGCTCGATCCACAGCAGCGATGACGTCGGCCAGACGGACGGCTCGCCCGAGGGCCCGGCACTGCTCAGCCCCGACCCCGATTCGTCCTCCGACTCCTACACCTGCATCCCTTCCTCCCCAGACGAGCCTCCGGCCTTGCTGCTGAGCGCCGACACCATCGGAACTGCAGAGTTTGCACCGGTCGAAGAGGAGCTTGCTCAGGAGGAAACGCTGCATCACCTGAACGGGGAGGAGCTTCAGCAGGAAGGGGAGGAGTCACAGCTTCTGACGACTGACTTGGGAACACAGGCAGGTATGAACATGAGGAACTAGTCGGGTTGTTTTTCTATAAAAACTTTAATAATTGTCACCATATACATGGAAAAGCTCTTCACCATCATCACCAGCATGCCTGTATCCTTTCTTTTCTGCCACATGTGCCATTTGTGTTTGAAGTGTACTTGGTGGACCAGCTGGTTCTGGACTTGTTCTGTATCTGGGCCAGGAGGAGAGGCTGTGGTTGGTATGAGGCAGGGAGCATGATGTGACGGAGGAACTTTAAAGTTGCATGACACCCTGCAGAAATAAATTGGCTGCAGAGGGACCTCTAAAGTTTTTTTTTTGGTTGTTTTATTTTTTATTTTTTTGCAGTGTTGTGCTTTTGGTCTGCAGCTCTCTGTGTCGCTACGGCATCAAAAGATTAGTTTTCTTTTGCTCTGTTCTGCATTTCTTTCATGCACTTTGTAACTAGAGTTCAGCATCAGCGAGTTTTTTTTTTCCCTGCTCATTTCTATATTCCCATTGCCTCTCTGTAATAAATTGAGACGCGAGCAGTTTGGAAACTTTAAACGTTGTTGTTTCAGGGGACCAGAAGTTCAAAAAATGAAGAATTTATTAAAGATTTAAGCCAGATTAAAGGCAAATAAAGAATGGCAATGCAGCAAATTACCCGGCGTACTATGCACGGCAGAGCCAAGAAAGAAGCAAGTCTCGCCTCCCTTGAGAAGCTTTGTCAGACCAGTTACAGAGCCCAAAGCTGCAGCGTTATCTAACATCGGCTGTGGAAGTGCCAGAACGAGTTTGTGCCCAATAATATGCAACTACTTTTGTTTTTTAAATATTAATAAAGCTGTCAGAAAACTGTCTAATGAGTAAATGTTTTCACAGCTTATGTCCTGGGGGGAGGGTTCCCATAAAATAAATGAAACCTGTAAATTTAATACTTGCCAATATGTACTTAAACAACCACCTTTCATCCCTTTTCGCCACTTCAGACTCCCCTCCGGATGCAGAGGCGGGTGAGGAGAGGACAGGGAAGGCGGGGGAGGAGGGAGAGCCGGAGGTGAGGAGGAGAAGGTCTCTCCTGGCGGCTCTGGAGAGGATCGGAAGGAGAGAGGAAGAGGAGGAGGACGAAGACTTTCAGGTGCCACAGCGGGAGGAAGACAGCGGTTTCTCTGTGAACAAGTGCATCCTGGGTGCCGTGATCCTGCTGGGCCTCGGCACCATCTTTTTCTCAGGTGGGCATCACGAACTCAGCTGGCATATGACCTTTTTAAGAAGCTAAACATCCTATTTTGTTGGGCTGTTGCTGTTTTAAAGGTTAATTGAGTTTAATTTTAACCCTCTGAACCCCAAAATCCACCAATTAGAAGAAGAATCAAAGTGCTGTACTGTAAAATATTAGTAGTAATAGTTGGATTTTCAACTTTTCATCAGAAAAAATAACCAAATCTAAGCTTAAAATTGGGATATTTTGTTAAAATTACTGTCTTCTTTACATCAGGTTTAAGAAAATAGGCCAAAAATAAACCATTTGCACGAAAACACAATAAGTCCTGCGCTCCTCAGTGCAACCGGGAAGCCACGTTTGACTCGGCTGCAACCAACAATCACCAAAATTACACTATTTACCAAAGCTAGAACCTATAAAAACAAAACAAAATACAATTGGATTCTCAACTTTTTGACTGTCTTTGATCGTATCATGTGTGATGTGCAGTTCAGTTAGAAAAAAGCACCCAAAATCGGACCTTAAAATTGTGAAATTGAATGAAAATCAATTGTCTCTTTTCGAACTTCTCCCAATTTTAAACATTGCATGATGCAGGTTCTGTGGAAAAAACAACAAATTTCGTCCACACAATGATAATTTAGTAAATATTCGGCTGAGCTGCAGGCTGTGTGCAGAGCAGACAAGACTCAAGTATGGAAACTATTCAGAGAGACCTATTGATCAGTAAAATAAATACAGCATGAGGGGAAAAAGGTTGTAAAAATGTAAATAAAACAGATATCTACAGCATATGGAGCCTTCATTTTTGTCCTGTAATGGTGTAAACTTGGAAAAATTGTAAAGAAATGTCAAAGCGATTCAGTTTAATTTAGTCTTGTTGTGATTTATCACAATCTAATTTTATTAAACTGTGCAAAGAACATTTTTTACTTCTCCTTACATGTAGAAATGGTTGTGCCGTTTCAATAGAGGTGCAAGATTTTAAATTGCAGTGAACAATGAGCCCACAGTGAAGAAAAATGTGCAAAAGAAATAGTTTGGCTAAACATGTTAAAGTGAGGTTAGATGGCGATGAAGGCGCTCTGAGACTGAGGTGTGTTGTCACCTGCAGGTGTTTTCATGGACCTCAATGAAGGTAGGTTGGTTCTGTGTGTTCTTGTGTACATGTGTGTGTGTGTGTTTTGGCCACAGCATGTGTTTCTATGTGAGTCTGCATGCAGAGAAAACACTTTGCACCTGATACTGTTAGAAAAGCTCTCCACGCTTTTAAAGGTGCGTAAGTGGGTGAAAGAGGGAGAAAGTGACGTACGCAGTGTTGCCTGTCCAAAGAAAACCTTGTGTCACATCACCTCTGGGTAGAATCTGAAGAAAGCGAGTTTTAAAAGCAGTAAAAACAAGAGATAAGGTAAAGGTTAAACAGGGGTTACAAGGTTTTCAACCAGCAGCTCATATAATGCCCCGAAACTGTCCGTGAAGGTTTGGTTTGTAATGCATTTACATACAGCTTAGTACCATTGTAGCCAAACTAAATATTGATTTTTTTTTTTGGCTTGAAACCACATAAACAAATGACAAAAGACAGTAAACACTGTATTAGAGATTTTAATGATGAATTTTTGCTCCAAAAATGCCATGACAAAAACAATAACACCTCCTGAAATTGTTGACAATTCTAGAGAAAGTGCAGCCTCTGTCGCTTTCTAAATGGTCCTGGTAATTTCTGCCATGTCGTAGAGGCTTCTAATACACTATAAACCAAGAACAGCTAATGCAGTAGTTCTGTGGTCAGTTCTAGTTAAGCGCAAGTAATGGATAAAGTAAATACCATCATGAGAAAATAGGAAAAACTTGTTCTTGGGCAGCACTGGAGCTTCCCACAAGTGACCTTCTACAAGATAAAGATCATAGATGGATGGATTAACGCATCAAACACCATATTTTATTGTCTTTTGTCGCTTGTTTATGTCATTTCCAGCCAGAAAATCAAATAAAACTTCTCTATAAATCCAAATGTTGCATGGAGCTGAACCGTAGCATGACTGCCTTTTTTACCTACGCTACATTTTGTTGTGAAATCCTCCCATGTGCGGCACTATATGAACATGTCCTTTGACGGTGTGCACGTTAATCTTTGCATCACGATTTGCAGAAAGCGACTATGGCCCCACGGAGCTGAAGAATACCGAAGTACCAGGAAAACAGGTCAGTCTGGAGTCTGCTCTCCCCTCCATTCTGTCTTAACTTTTATTCATTATAAATGCCGTTTTTGTGTACCAGTTTTCCAGCTCACTGAGTAGCGCCGCATGAATTTTTAGTGCGTTATGCTTAGCAGGAGACCGCCCACAACACTGGCAGCATTAACCGCTATTGTCTACCAACTCTGGACTTCTGTTCTTTCTCATCTCATAAACAGCTTTTTTTTTTTTTCCTTCCCCCCTCTCGGTGTGGAAAAAGTAATTGCGAGAAGTCACCTAAAATCCTGCCATTGTGTTGTGCAATTTGTTTGACAGGAGTGGCTTAATCCAGAGGCCCCGCCGCCCCCGGGAGACGCTGACAGTTCACAGCTTCTAAATAAGTTAGCCGAAGGGAGCCAGCAGATTTCTGTGCTGCAGGCCCAACTTCAGGTGCGACTCCATTCTGTCTCTCACCTCATCCCTTCCTGTAGATGCAGAAATGTGTGTCGGGCCGAGTGTGTGTGAGAGTTCTGTATTCTCACCGGAGCCTCTTTCTCCTGTTCCTTCTCTTTTAAAACAGGCACAGAAAGAGGAGCTAAAAGTAGCCAAGGGACAGGCAGCGGAGGGAGCGAAGGAGCGGCGGCGCTGGGAGGAGGTGGAGAAGGAAAACAGTAGGTTGAAGACAGAGATGGCATCTCTCCCTGTCCTTCACAAAGACAACGAGAGGATGAAGAAAGAGCTGGAGTCTGTGCCGGCCCTACAGAAAGAACTAGAAACACTGAGATCCACTGTGACTGAGTTAAAACTCTCCTCAGGTACAAAGGGACGAGGCAGAAGGATGATAGATTATAAAAAGCCAGGAAGAGCTCACAATGTTTTTCCTTCTTCTTCTGCTACTCTCATGATTCTTTTTTTTTTTTTTTTTTTGTAGTTTTAATGACTTTATTTCCTATTTTCTGCAGCAGCCGGTCAGGCAGCTTCTGTGAAGGCCGCTACGTCGCCCCCCGCTGGTCAGCCAGAGGACGGCAGGCAAACTAGGAAGCCGTGGGATGACCAGAAGGAGAAGAAGAAGAAAGATCCGAAGAGGGACAAATACGACATGGGCGAGAAGAAAGAGCGGAAGGAAAAATCTGCATTGAAGGACGCAGATAAAAAGGAGAGAAAAGATGCCGGTAAGAAGGAATGGAAGAAGGAAAAGCACGAGCACGGGGTGTTTGAGAAGGACGGCAAGCACAAGAGGCCGAACGACGAGGCGAAGCAGTGGAAGAAAGAGAAGACGAGCAGAGGAGATGAAGGAAAGCCTTGGAAGAATCGGGAAGGGAAGAAAGAGTGGGTAGGAAAGGGTGAGAAAAAAGAGTGGAAGGAGGAGAAGGAGAGGAAGAAGGTGAAGCACGAGAACGAAGGTAAACAGTGGAGGGGAGGGAAGGATCGCGGAGAGAAGGAGTGGAAGGGAGAGAAGGAGTGGAAGAAAGTGAAAGACGGCTTTAAGGAAAGTGGCAAAGAGAAGTGGGAGAGGAAAGAGTGGAAGGAGAAAGGAGAGAGGAAGGAGAAAGGAGAGAGGAAAGAGTGGAAGAAAGACACAGAGTGGAAGGACAAGAACGGCAAAGGGAAGGGCGAGAGGAAACACTGGGAAGGCGGCAAAAACCACGGCAAGGAAAGAACCGCGAAGGACGAGAGGAAGCAGTGGAACGAGCACGAGTGGAGTAAAAAGGAAAAACACGACAAGGAGTGGAAGAGGAAGGACGAGAAGTGGGAAAAGGAGGAGGAGTGGAAGAAGGGGAGGCCGAAAGAGAAGAAGCACAACGGAGAGGGGAAGAAGGAGAAATCAGAAAAAGGCAAAGATAAATTTACAGGTAATCACAAGGACGAGCATCTGTACGGGGAACAAAAGCAGCTTCACACTCACCGCAAACCCTCCCTGGACCAGCCGGAGTACTGGCTGCAGCAGAGGGACCGCCTGCAGCACAGTCCCAAACCGCCGCAGCACTGCGGCTCCTTGGAGAGCTGCGCCGAGGCCGAGCAGCTGCTTCCCGTCCCTCTGCCGGAGTTCGAGGCCATCCTCCAAACGTATCTCGCCAAGGCAGAGGAGGCCGGAGCAGACGAAGCCAAAAGAACGGAGCTGAAGAAGCTGGCGGCGGAGTTCTTCAAGGACGGCTTCTTCGCTCACGACCAGATGAGCTTCCGGGATTTCGTTGAAGACGTGGGAGACATTTTGGAAGACATGGTGGAAGGCGACGAGGAGGACAGCGACGCAGAGGACAGCGCCATAGAGGAGGAAATGGAGGCGTTCGAAAAGGAAGTCATGGAGAAGTTCTCGATGCCGGGAGCCGTGGAGAAAGAGGAGAGGGTCAAAGGTGAGCGGAGGAAGGAGAGCGAACGAGGACGTGGCTGATGAAGTGGTGGAGCTGGAAGGAGTCGGGATGGAGGGAGGTTTACTCAAAGGGAACACTTCTTATTGGACCACAAATGCTTAAAAGTATACGTTTATCAACCTGCCGTCCTGTCTGAAGGGTTGGCTTCTCTTCAACGTGTTGTCCAAGCGATTTAAATTGTAATTTTGTTCCATTGTTTTGGGAGGTTTTTGTATTTCACCTGCACACACACCTTAGTACAAAGGGATATAGAAGGGCTTGTATCTGCATCAGAACATGATGTTATGAGAAAGAACTTGTAAAAACATAGATTCTGATGTTCAGGCCAGACAATATTCTCTAAAACTACTTACACAGCATACAGCAGGAGTGAGTGGACCCCAGTGCAAAAGTTGCATCATTTCAAAGCTCTCATAAATAATAAATAATAATAAAAAACAGAAACTTTACAGAGACAATGTTCAAAATTCAGGCCCCAGAGTAGAATCTCAACTGGTGGCAGCATCATGATATGGGGCTGCATGAGGGCAGAAGGTGTTGATGACATTAATAGATGAATGTCTAAGGATAAACCAGAACACTGGCTGACTAGATGAAGCTGGAAGAAGAGGAATATTCCAGCATGAGAACCATCCAAAGCACAAAATCACTCCCACTGTGAGGCCTGTATTTTCAGTATAATCCATTTTAATTTAGCATAAGAGCAAATCTTCACTGCAGGTGATTATAATTTGGAGTAATTGAAGTGGCACCGCACAGGGCTGCACTCACGTCTGTAGTATGTTGTAGCTTGTTTATATGTAACCGATCACATGCAGCTAATGTCTACATCCACTGGTTATTTACGTTATAGTCTTATTCAGACACTTCTTCACTCTGCACTGTTTACCTATTGGCTGATCGGGCTTACAGTATCTTCATGTTTTAGTTACTTAAGCCTGACTCTTAATGTCGGATTATCTTTGAACGTTGGTTAACAAACCTTTTTTTTTTTTTTTTTTGATATAAAGGACGGCCTCAACATGGACTGCTGGAAAGATAAAGTGAATACTTGACGTGAAGTTAGAGAAGTCCGCGTAGGTCTTGAAGGTTGTACATATCGCATCGTTTGTCTGTTTTAAGAACTCGGCTGTCATTTCAAAAACATATAATTAACTTATTTCCTAGCGGTTGGCATAGGATCGGGTCGGCACATAAGACATCGACATGTTGAGCGTGTATATTTTATTTCAGGTACAGAACTCGTGTTGTGCACTAAAATGTTCTTAATTATTGTTTTGCGACGAATTTGTTTGCGTGGATTAGGTCTGAGCTTGGTTTTCACACGCTGGTGAGTTTATGAAATGTAGCTGACTGAAGCTCCTGTAGAGATTGTTTGTTCAGAGGCGTTATTGTGTGGCAGCGTTAGAGAATTTTCAATGTTAGGAAGTTTGCTGCTGTTGTTGTCATAAGAGCAGAATAATAAATTTAAATGGCTCCCTGTGATGCAATAACTGGACTTTGTCTTCTTTGAACCTGTTCAAACCTGCAAACATCGACTCATCAATGTGATTTCTTTCGGTTTTCATGTTTTGATTCTGGTTAATGGAGCGATTGTGGCATGAATTTTGGTTGAAAATAATAAAAAGTAGTTGCATGCCAACAGATCAGCACAGCAGCAGTGATGTATTTGTTTTGTCTTTAGACCGTGATTTGCCTTTTCCAGGTAATTAATTCTCCTTTTGACCGATTTTATGTGTTACACCTTTTTGTTTTTTCATGCATTAATAATTTTGAAAGCTTTTTAGCAACTTAAAACATGTTTAGTTTGATTTTTTTTTTTCAGTATCCATTATTTTGGTCGTAAATGCTGCACATCAACAGTTTAAAATGCACTTAAAGGTAAAATACTAACAAATATCACTATGAAACTTCCCCAGCGGGTTACCTACATTAAGAAATTGTGTGTTTATAATATGCAATTGGGATATTATCTTGCTAAAAATGTGCTTAAACTTGCACAACAGAAATCTGAACGTTGGTTAAAGTCAGGATCACGAACTAAAGAATAAAAGGTCAAATAAAATATTTTAACACACGACCTTAAGGCCGTTTTATAACGTCAGTGATAGTACAGACATGCAGAGCTTTGCGGATTTTTTTCCTGCTGGTTTGGACTAAATATTCTGAATAATGTGGTTTTTAATTAGCTGTTTGTTGTTGTAGTTGCCGAGCACGAAGCGCGGAGCAACAAACCTGGTTGATGGTTGCAAGAAAAATGAGGGAAGGGTGAGAAAGTGGCTTCATGTTACTGAGTCACAGAGTCTGTCAGTTCAGTCGATGATTGTCTCTGAAGAGGTTAAACATTCAGCTTTGTGTGTGTCATCGTCTGGGTTTGGAGGGATTTCATTAAAAATGTGGGCCAATACTAAACAAATGTAGCCGCTAACACAATCGCACTGTTAAAGTAGGTTAGTGCTGGGTTTCCTCAATACCAGATAGTCAAATATGAGAAAATAAATACAGTGCTACGATTTTTACTTAACTGACTGAACTGTTTTATATGTGTAATGGTTTTATATCGTCCTTTAGCCAATTTAAAAATGTATTTTAGAACTATTATCCTAACAATCCTCCTTTTTTTTTTTTTTAATGTAACTAAAGGTATTGGTAATCTAAGTTGGTTATGTTTCCGTAAAATAATGCAGTTATCTTTTTTGGTTTTATTCTCTATATGTAAGGCTTCTGTGTGGCGGTTTTTATAAATAGTAATTTGTTCTTTTACAACATTTGACTGTAAAACTACTCAAACCAGCAAAAAGAAAGATAAATGCAGTTATTTGAAAGAAAAAATATGTTCATTAGTCAGTTTTTTAAATCAGTTATTTTACTGAATTTACCTGGTTTCTAAAATTACAGAATATAAGAAGTAAAAAAAGAAAAGAACAAAAACTAAACATAGACCAAAACTAAAAATAATGTCCACATCAAAAATCAGTTCTTTTACAATGTGTGATCATAAAATTATTCTGTTTTTACTGCATTTAAACCAGCAAAATATTATTTAAAATAAAATATGAATTATTATTTTGCTGTGATTTAAAAGAAAAATAATGTATATTAGTGATAATAATAAAAACATATAGTAATAATAACAATAATCATAAATTACACTTTACCTGTTAAAAAAAAGTCAAAACATCATAAATCAGTATTTTTTTTACATTAATTTTATTTATTTATTTTACAATGTGTGACTGTATAATGAGATGTTTGTCCATATTTTACATGTGACATTATTCCACCTTTTTAATCTATTTTTTCTTTCATCCTCTCCTGATTTTTAGTTTTTTTTTTCTACAGCTTTTTGTGTTTTATAAGGTGTTACTTTAAGGACCTCTGGGTTTTCACCACTTTTTAAAATATTATTTTTAGCTTAAAATGCTTTTCCTGAGGCCAAATTGCTGGATAAGTGGACGCAGTAAACAACCCAGAAAACTCAAGATGTGTGAATTATGTTGTGAAACAGGGACGAGTCCTCAGGTCCTGTCAGTCACAGCGTATTAATCAGCAGATAACCAGCAGCGCCTCCCCACACAAAGTCCCGACTCTTTAATATCACCTCGTCCTGCTCGTCTTCAGGAGCCGTTTATTCTGCGCTAGTTGCTGCTCTCTGCTTCCTGAATGGTGGCCCAGGGACCCGAGGAGCAGAGCTGCAGACTGCTGCCTCTCCTAGAAGGATGCGAGTGTTTGTGTGGGGATGTTTTGGATGATAAAGGCAGCGTGCTTGTTAGCACTAACTGCCTCCCCGAGATGCCGACTGTGCTCATCCTGTCACAGCTTTGGACTAAATAATACGACTTTTCTGAGGCCGAACCCAAGCGGCTCGTTCTCGAAACTTTCCGCGACGCCGACTGTGTCATTATAGCTGATTTACTGATTCCTTTTTGCTCTCTGCAGCATTCTGCTAATGCTCATGCACAGGAAAGGAGGAAAGTGAGGCCATTTGTGCGCACACAGGGTAATACGCTGAACCCAACTCCAGTCTGTTAGTCTGCAGGCCTCCTGAATGAATCCATAACTTTTACCAGAAACCTGCTACGTGCTGAAGCTGTTGCCTGCAGCTACGTCATGGAGAAACGTGGTTTACACTTTTACCAGATGCAATGATTGATCATCTTTACCAGGAGCAGATAAAAGATGAGGAGGGTTTGAGTTCCCACAACGTCCCAACACCTGAGCTGGTGAGTCTCTCACATCTTTTTGTTTCCAGAATACATCTTAGCTAATTTAGCCATTAATTAATTCACCATTAATCTCTCGTTTCTCTCTCAGCTCATGATGGAGTCTGCTATCGGTGTGCTGGTGTCCCAGTTTAAGGCCTATGCTGGGAGTGATGGTTCCGCCGACACTCTGAGCAGGGATGAGTTTCGCAGGCTGGTCAAAGCCGAGCTGCCGAACTTTGTCAAGGTAAGAATTGTGGGTTTAATACACACAGGTGCTGCTGTTACAGTCTTCATGTACAGAAGCAGGTTGTTGTATCTACTGCAATGGAAATGTTTAGCTAAATACTTTGTGTGTTGGTTCAAAATGGACTAAACCAGGGATCTCCAACTCCAGACATTTCCGTACTGCAACACACCTGATTCACATTAATGGATCTCCAACAGCCTGTTGTCAAATTCTACACTCCATTAATGTGAGTCAGGAGTGTTACAGTACGGAAACACCTAAAACCTGCAGGACAGTAGCTCACGAGGACCGAAGTTGGAGATCCCTGCACTAAACAGTGGTGTGGATCTCACTGGTCGACCCAGATCTGACAGGTGAGCTTCCTTCACTGATGTCCTTAATTCATTTTTCTTTATTTGGAGCTTCCACAAGGTGGCTGCTAGTCTTCCTGGGGTCCAGTCACAAAACGGCATTAAAAATACATCCATTTAAAATCACAGAATATCAGGGAGACGACATTAATTTAATATCAACCCAAAGTTAAGACGAGAAAAGTTTAAAAAAAATCAAAAATTGTCAGAGACTCACAGCACCGACTCAAGAAAATAAAATTCACAAAAAAACAAGTGTTCCAGAACTGCCACAACAAATACATGTGATTCGTTAGTTTGAGACACTGAGACCCCTCTATAAAGAACAGTTCTCATCATGAAGTTTGTTCGTGGACTTGGTGCCACCAGGAGACCAGAAGGCTTACTTGGTGTGTCACTTACCCACGGTAAAAACCACTAACTAGTAGTTTATCACCAGAGAACTGAGGTTTATTTTTCAGGATGACAGAATGCAGAAATAGCAAAAGACTAGATTTTAATTTGTCAGCCGAGATAGTCGATTGTGCGTCTCACACACATTGGCACGGAAAGAACTAAGCTGGCTGCCCTGTTTGGTGCAATCTGAAGCTATTTGAGGTGTTTTTGAGCAGCTCTGGACCTTAATCTGAGCGAATGCAACCACAGAGTGCAAGTGAAAACAGCAGCGTTAGAAAGCTGTTAAAGTTGTGTGTAGCAGCCGCAAAAGCAGAAAGACACAGTTGATGATACTTCAGTTGGCAGAAAAATAGAAAATCGGGTCAGATTAATGCGACTTATTAATATTTAATGCAACAGGAGGTTTAGTTTGTCGCCTCCAGCTGTTTAGGAGTCTTTCCTCTGAGTTTATTCAACACCGGCAGCAGGATCCATACCTTCGTTAATTAATCATAGTCATAGATGATCCCCGTCATGTTAAGCGACACTCTGAACTCTTCTTCACCTCCGACTGCTGAGCTGTCACACGGTCACATTTTCCTGAGTCCTGAATCCTAAAAACAGGATATTACTTTACTCTAAAAAGTCTGATCCGGTCACTAAAGTCTGAATATTTTTCTGACATGTCAAGTTTCTCTATCGGGGAACAAACACTGACATTAAAATTATATAAACTAAATAAAGAAATTAATTAACCTCAATAAATAAATACAGGAATGACTAAATTGGAGAATGAATAAATAGAAAAAAATAAACAGAAAATATAAAATTGGAGAAAAATTAAATATGAAAAAAGAAACAAAAAAATAAGCTGTCAGATAAGTAAATAAATGTATTTTATTTATTTTTAGGTTTTGAGTGTGTGTGTGTTTATTTTTCTATTAATCTACTTCATAATCAAGACTTTTGATTTTACATTTCTCTTTTTAAAAAATTATTATTGTTTAGAATTTTTGTCATTTATTTACTTAATATTTATTTCTCAATATGGCAGTGTTGGTCCTCCATATTACGGGGATTTTTCTGTTATATTTCTGTCATAGAACATAATCTTTCTAATTAATAAAGTAATTACCCAAACACAGCAGCAGGAAGCCTAGAAAACACATTTTATTGAACCATAACTGACTGTAGTTTGACAAGTGATCATCACACGTGGACGACATTTTCAGTTTTGGCATCATAAATAAACTTTGAATTAACTTTTTCCCATCAAATACTGCAGCATGTCTTATCTCTATTTTGAAGGCAGACACCCAGATATCCAAACTGTACCAGTGTCCGTCTGTGCATATTAGATAATTAAGAACATCAACTGCTCTGATTGAGCTGCTCGTGTTTCTATAATTGTTCTCTACTAATCTAAATACGGATTTGGTTTATTCCTCTGGGCTGTCAAACTCCCATTTTTGCCCAAACACTATTAAAAGCACACAAATAAAAACCCTCAGCTGCCGTTTTAGGAGACACAAATCTCCTCCAGCTCCACTGTTACGGCACCATGAGGAGGATGAAGTTTGCTCAGAACATTTTTCCTCACAGCTTTCTGTCCTGCTCAAATAGGAATCATCTGGACGCTTGTGTTTTTCTTGTTCTGTGACCATGTCATTAAGTGTTAGTCATCATTTATTTAAGTGGCCGGTCTCTCCCAGATGTGGTCGTTCTGTACTTTTTGAGCAGAGTGTTCTCCTTCCTGCGGCCTTGAGCGGCTTCATGTCACGGTTAGATGTTTTAAACAATGAGTTTCTCAGGAAGAAAAGAGAGACTCGCTGCCCTTCAGAGAATTCACTCCAGTGCTGCTGTGATTTTTGTCGTTTTGCACTCGCACACTGACACAAACGAGCAGCTCCTGAGGCCTAACAAAGGCTTCAGAGCCGCCTTTCCCCCAGTGTGGAAAATTCCATGTGCTTCTCGGTGCGTGAGCTTCCACCGAGTCCACTAGATGGTGACAGAGCCGCAGACTCTGGTGCCAAAACCACCTCTGCTGATGCTGCATGAATCCAGCGAGCTCGGCCTGCTTGCCAGTGGTGTCAGCTTGCCTCTGCCTCCTCTGCCTCCTCTCCCACACGCCGAACCAATAACACGGAGGCATGAGATCATCCTCAGCAGCCTGTCACTGCTGTTCTCTCAAACATTCCCGTGTCACCCCTTTTGCAGAACGCTGGCGACCCCGCCACCGTCGACCAGCTCATGAGCTCTCTGGACGCCAACAACGATGGGGAGCTGAACTTCCTGGAGTTCTGGCAGCTGATTGGACGTCTCGCAAGCAAGCATGGGGGGTTCAGCCAATAGAGTGTCCTCGGATACCCTGCTGCAGCTGTCAGTGTGCCACACAGTTAGAAAAAAAAGTGGGAAATCAGCCAAATGGAAAACACCCCATAACTGTGTCTGAGCTTTTGTTGTTTTGTTATTTACCAGTTTGAATCCAGTGTGTCTCTTAGCAGCAGAGTCAAACAGTGTCACACAGAGCTGCTGCTGCTGCCTGTGCTCACAGGTCCACAGAGAAAAGTGCAGAATGCATTGTCTGAGACCTGAGAATATGTGTGAGTAAGCAGAATTCCTGGAAAACATCACCTCCCTCCTGGACCAACAGAGGTGTGGCGCCCTCAGAGCCTCATGTGATATGAAAGAAATCATTAAAAAAATCCAAAGTAAAATCATGTCAGTGTGTTCTCTGCTACACAGAGCCTCGTCTGTTGTCTGACTTTTCTTTTTTCTTCTACTTTTCTCACTATCTCTCCATTCTTTGCGCAAGTTTCAGGGTGTGGCTTTGAATGCATCTGTCTGCTGAGAAAGCTTTGAAGACGCGCGCACTGTAACAGGAGCGCGCACTTGTTCTTACATGTTGAGAGAGAAAAAAAAAACTTACAGGAGGGAAAAAGGAAAAAAAAAAAGAAGTGAAACATGCACCTAAACACACTTAAAATATGTAACAACCTGCATGATGAAGATGATTTCTGTTTTCCGTTTGCTGAGAAAAAGTTGCTCAAGCTGCGCCTCTTCCCACATTCCTTCTCTCCGGAGGCACACGCCCTGTGACAAAGACGAAGAGAGAGAGAGAGAGAGAGAGGAAAAAAAGGTTGGCTGGACCGAGAAGTTAAATCACGGAAAAGATATGTGTTGCTGCTTAATCTAGACTGCAGAGGAGGATCAGTGAGGACGCAGGAGCGCAGCCTCTGGAATACTTCAGCCTTTTGTTCGTCTTTCTGAAAGGTGAGTCCTCTGATTATTCGCCACTAGTTTTGTTTTTCTCTCCAGAAAATGATCAGTTTAGCTCATTTTCTGCACCCAGTCATCAATTTTGTATACTTTGTCTCTACTGTCAGTGCCCCCACGGATCGGGTTCTCCTTCTTGGTAATCCAACTCCAATCCCTTTACACTTCCAGAGAAACCGGAGTCTGGACTCACGTTTACTTATTTATTTGCTGTGTGTCAGTGCTGCCTCTGGTCGCTCTACAAATTGTCAGGATTAGTTCGGGCTAAATGTAAATGTGGGACACGGGGCGAACCCCTCGCGTCTCCGTTACGCGCGGCGCACGCACCGGGCGGTTTTTGGCGTTTTGCGCACACGCCGTTATCGCGCCGTTAAACAGCCATAATGTGGTCGCTGTGGCGGCGCTCAGATTCGGCTCTTATGAGTCTGAATTATTCAGTTTATGATAAGACTCCCGGTAGTGAGACTCGACCTGGTGTAGTTAATGACGCGGAGGGGGAAGAGTGACCTGCCCGATGACAGGTAACATGCTCAAGGGGGGGAAGTGCGTCAGTCACACCCAGCGCAAACAACACGGCCCGGGTGGAGCCGATCAGTCACTGGGGTTAATCAATGCTCAGCGCGCACACAGCAGCCGTTTGGAGGAAAAAGCTGCACATATTCCATGTTATTTTTTTATTTTTTTACTCGGTTCGTTGGATCCGGCGCCCTGCTGAAGGGCTGGGTTCGGCTGGATTTACCTGGTTTACCTGTAAACTGGTCGGTACACGTCAGGTCTGACACCAGTTTCAACATCGTGATGCCAGAGTTAGTCACCAGCGTCTGCACAATACCCACTTCATCCTCCGATATTATGAAACGTTAATCCTCAGGAGCCTCCTTAGAGCCCAATTAAACACACTAATGGCACAAATAACAACGACACAAGGCGCACATTGTGTTTTAAAAAAAATACAATATGAGCCTTGTTTAATCTCATTGAAGTTGGAAAGTTATTTTGCAAAAGAAACCTGATCAAAATCTGCTCTAAAATTCCAAGTAGTCTTGAATTCTATATTTCAGAAATAAAAAAATTCCTTCATTCTGAGTTCTATCTGTCCAAGGCCCCAAACTATCCATCTATCATCATTTTGTATTTGACAGACACCTTTCTTCTGGCAGGAAGTGACAAAATATATTGTTTAAGAGATGTTGATGATGAATTTTAACTATTTCAGTTTGTGCTTTTACAAAAAATGTCATGCCTGAATCTATTTATACCATTAAAATTGTTGCCAGTTTGGCGGGAAATGCAGCTTATATGATATTCCAAATGTTCCTGGTGGTTCCTATCATGTCCTACATCGCTCTAATCCACTATAAACTGAGAACAG